ATAAAGCTTTTGAATAAAAAATATGTCTACCTTTTTGTGAAAAAATAGTGAACATAATGTTAAAAAAGCGAACTGTCAAATAGTGCGCACCTGGTAGCCAGTGCCGAAACACGAATCGCTCAATTACGAATCGTCTTCATTACATCCTCACATATAGAGCGGGTTTTATAAGAATGGACCGTTTCGATAGCTAGTGCTGGCAACAAACTGAAGGTCCCGTGGTCGTTATGCCCTTAAGCCCATTTAACTTCCCTTCCTTCATTTGTTCATTTGTTCGTTTGCAGCTGTCTGACTTGTAAATGGCTTTGACTCTTCCTTTTATGATGTCCTCGTCCAACGAAAATGTAGTTCGCCACGAAAAATAATTGAAATTAAGAAGTGAAATCTAGTGTACTCTTCTAAAAGTTATTTATTTTATAAACATAATATTGAATTTAATTTTTGTGTGACAAGTATTATGTTTATTTGAAAATCGAGTTCTGAATGTCAGACGCGTACTGTCGCACGAGTTTCCTGCTCCTCTGCGGTTAAGTGGTGAACTATGATCGAGAACGTTGCGTGGTCTGTGTAATATAAATTATTTTTTTATATAATTACACGGTTGTGAGCAATGAGAAACCACGATGTCTTAACGGCAGCCATGTGCATCCATAAACTCTTTACGAAGACGCGTGGCTGAATAGCTGTAGCGGCGGAGGCAAACGTTTTCGAATTTCATGTGATGTTCAGTTGTTTAGCGAACTGTCATTTTGGCTCATTCTTATACCCTGACGGCAACGGCCTGCTTCACGCGCGTGTAAGTCCCGGCAGCCGCGTCCGACCAAAAGCAGAGCTTGCAGCGAACGCGGAGTCGGTACGAGCCACCGAGAGGCAGCAAGGACAACGTGGGGTTGAGCTCCCTGTGAGGCACGCTTTGTCACCGAGATCGCGGACACAGGAGTGGATTATATCAAGCCTTGAAATGTGTCTATTCTTATTACTGATCTATCTGGAACCAATTCACAATCGCTATATATGTATATGATTAGTCACTGAGCTATTGTTAGGAAAATGACTGTAATAGCGCTATATAATTATTAATTTTGTATAATTATTAATTTTACTATTACTTTTTAATAAATACAATTTAAATTTAATATCATTGTATTAAATCTATTAAATTAATTAATTTAATTCAAAAATGATTTATAATTCTATAAGTCTACAACTCATTTGCAGATTGCATTAATGTATTTTTTAAAAACATTATTACATTACATATCCGAGAAGAACTGTGATCCTTTCCAGTATGTCTTTCTTGGACGTCTGATTCCTTGTATGTGTACGTGCACGTGTTGAAGTGTAAAAATTTCGAATGTGTAGGGGAAAAAGCGTACTAATCCTGTATATTTATTTTACAGAGCACAGAAAGAGCTCTCCTATCGCGTAAGATGTCCGTGGCTCTATTTTGATAGAATCTATAATATATTTCCTGCAGGACGCACAGCGTTAAAATATCTAAATATTGGTCGCAGTTTGCAAGAAACGGTAAATATTATTTCCAATGACGGCTACCTTTTATGGGTATGAAGTGAAATAAATTTATTAAAAACACAACTATTCCAAAACACATGTTTTAACCACATGGGAAACCTTCCAATTAACCACACGGGTATTCTTCCTAGTTCCTTGTGAGAACTCAATAAAAATGATTAACATACATTTCCGTGCGTAATGACAAATATCTGTTGAAAATTAAATAACAAATATCGACGTCACCAGACTGGATTGCTGAGGTCGCTAAGGCTGAAAAGCTCATAACTGCCGCTCCTCGGGTCGAAGGGTCGTGGGTTCGAATACCGACACAACTAGGGATGTTTGCATGCGTTCGTGTTGACTTTACATGTTCTTCCTTCAGTTAAATCAACCACGGTGGTCTCTATATGATCAAGTTGTTAAAAAGCGACTTTAAAAAATTATTGAAGTATTTTATTTTTTTTTCAGAACGAGATGCATAATGCATATAGAATTCTTCAATTAGAGAAAAACAAAAGGTTGTCTTAGTAAATGGGACATAAATATAAGAGAAGAAAAACTTTTGATGTCACTTTTACAGTTCTCAGTCTGAATTGCCCTCGAATAAAGATAAAGGAAAAAATATCACAAATATTTAAAAATTAAAAAGCATGATCGTATATTTATTTCATTTAAGTTAACGTATTTCTTTATATTGTTACGGGTTTTGTCTCACATACAAGACCCTCATCTCATCACATTCCATCAAATATATTTATTTGCAGTACGTACAAGAGCGGAAGGAATTACTCCATGCGAGAGCTGAGAGTTCATGGAAGAAGGGGAATTTCAAGGACGAGAACACAATGGAAGCCACGAATGATGCTACAAGCGAAGCCGACGCAGATCCAAACGAAAAGCAGTTCAGTACGTTCATAGACGCCCTGCTACAGGAAAGCGGAAAGTCTATATCCCATCAGAGCGTTTTGGATGAAATGCTGACATTTTTAATGGCAGTAAGTCCGTTGCCAAAATGTCTGAAATACCAGAAACAGCACAGACTACCGAAAATAATGTAATGTAGAAAATTAATTAAATTTCCTGCCAACTTCCTCTGGATTAATCAATTCTTAAATAACAATGAATTAAAAGATGTTCTAAGGAAGCATGATAGCATTATTATTGTAATAAATAATCTCTGCTCTCGTTAATCTCCATTCTAACCGATAGTCAAAACTTATGTCAAACTTTTGTTATTTTCAATTAATTTATGACCATCATCACAGAATTTAAGGAATATTCAACCAATTTAAATTGATTACACTTTCCTCTCTAAAAAGTAACGGGAAATCTTTCAGTACAGCTTTTACTGTTTGTACGCTCCACAGAATTATCAATGTGCTCATACTAAGAATAACACGAATTACAGGCAAATTAGTTCTTTACAACATTTGTTGACCACCCAATAATCCTAACGCTTATTTTGAAACTACAAATTTGTAATTACCTTAATTTTGACATTTCTTCCTTGCATGTTTTATTGAAAACCATTAGAGGATTTCTTTAACCCCTTTTTTACATCAACCCCTTCCTTATCTATTAAATGTTACCTCTCTGATCATTTCTGCATTTGATAATACAGATAGAAATGGACATCATTTTCGTCAACTTCAATTGGTTAGGAAAGATTGCTTTCAACGACTTCGTTGATACTATTCCAACCAGGGTTGCCAGTTTGGGAAACTTGAATAGGTGGGGAAATAATTGGGGAAATCATTTTCATTGAGTAGAGATAGAAATGTTAGTCTCTCAATTACAAATAAAAAGAGACAATACACTTATACTTTCATTTTTACTTTCCAGTTCGTACTAACGTTCGACGGAAATACGCTTCGACGGAAATATGCATTTTGAGGTCCCCTGATACAAAAAAAGTGCTTTTTTCAAAACATACATCTGTCAGTCCGTTCGTCTAGTGTCTGTGAACATTACTAGCGCTGAAACCATGCGTAGGTTTTTTCCATGTTGAAGAAACGCCTGTTCATCTGGCTCGAGTCGAATCTTCGAGAGTTCTTCAAAATGTTGGGTTACTTTACATAAAGCTATCCGAACATTTTCAAAATTTTCTCAAAAAATGGAGCAATTTTTTTCCTTTAATTTTTTTGTAACAATAGAGTGACATACACTTAGAAACGTCCCAGTTCGATTTTCGCGGTAAACTCTGAATTTTCAAAAATTTCAAAAGTATTATTTTTTACGGTGTATTCCTACAATTACAATATTAAAGATAGATATTATATGAAATAAAATTTGTTCTCGATAGTGAGTTCTATCATTAAGGTCTTGTACATTTTTTTAAAATTTTAGTACTCTTCGCGTAATATCGCGTGCAATGTATGCAAATTTAAAAAAATACAAAAACAAGATTTGCTCAAAAATGGCTGGAATGTTTTTTCTTTAAACCTTTTGCAGGGATAGTGCTAAATCTAGTCTATAGGGTGTCACAACCCTCTGGCCCCATTCTTTTGCTGTTGTTTTTCAAAAATTACAAAATGTATTCTGATATCGTTAATATTTATACAAGCGGAAATTTGTTAACATTATTATACTCGTATGTATGGGTACATGTGTTTTAAATTATCTCCTGTAAAGTTTCTCAATAATTCAATCGTTTTCTGTGAAAACTAGCTCAAAATTCCACATTTTCAGAAACGTTCAAACGCCATTTTCTAAAAAACCTCTCCAAATTTTTTCTTCAAATATTTCGAATGGTTAGAGCTATTTGCACTCTTTATTATGTAGCAAAGTTCATTTTGAGGTATTATTTTGTTTTTTCTAAAATCATACAAATTTCTGGTTAGAGCTCTCACGCCATTAATATGCATATTTCCACCAATTTGTAACGCAATAGTTCGATCATCTCTCTCTTATAAAATCATCTTTTTTCCCCTGCGTTTGGCAGCTATTGGGACAGTTCGATATCCAGCTCCCTGATATAATAATAATCTCATTTGTCTTCTTTCTTTGCCTATTAAATACCCTTATTATTTATTTCAATTTAATAGAGTGTCTAGGTCTAATTTTTATCAAGGATTGGGGTTTAATGTAACGTAAAGTTCATTTCAGTGTATGGTTTTAAAAAATTACACACATGTATATTTTTTGAAATAATTCTCAGGCTATTGATATGCTAAACACTATTGTATTTGTGATTCAAAGTTCTTATGATTACTTCAAATGAAGTTTTTTGAAACTCAAACATTTGTCAGTGAAAAAATTCTTTAAATTTCGAATTTACAGTAGTGCTTAAAACCAAGTTTTTAAACACAGTCATAAATTTGTCAAAAAAAATTACCATTTAGAAAGAGGTATTACTGTTATTAATATTCTTAAAATAATATTTTAGCTCTACAATTAGGATGCCGAAAAATTAGGGAAATCAAAACAAATGTACTTTGGGCATCGATAGAGGGCAGCTGGCAAGAGTAAGTGGCCAGCCGAGGCCATAGGAAGTAGAAAACTAATACGGAAAAGTCTGTGCCATTCTGTAGCACCAGTAGTTATGTATCAAGAAGAGAAAAATAAACGACACTCAATAGAGAAAAAACACAGGAAAAAGGAAGGTATAGGCCTTCGAGCTGCTCAAAGGACGATGATTGGTTGATTTGAAATATCTGGGTGTAAAGGGACAGCCAATGAAATCAGTAGGGACAGCTCATGTTGCTAGTAGAAAATTTGGAGAATGTTTTTCGTTTAAAGTTAAGGGATTTTGTTTCAATGGAGAGGTTATTTTAGGAAATTCCATCGTAGAGTTAGGAAACCTGTTTCAATCAATAGACTCCCTACCCTCGACAACCAGTGGCTAATGATGTTTGCAAAGCCATCGAAAGGCGGCTTAAAAGTTGACAAAGTTGACGTCCATTAATTAAGTCATAAATAATTTAAATAACACCAGCATTCCTACAACTTTGGTATTGTATTCGTATTGCTAATTTTGTAAAAGATATCTATATGTAACACTCTTCCCTGTAAAATTATGTAATAGTATGTGGACTATTTTAAATAAAAATCAATTAAAAGGTATTGTATCCTGAGCAGGAGATAACCATCCTGCATGGTTATAAACTATATCTATTCTTCTTCATCTCTATTGTAACCTCCGGGCAAACTTCACAGGGCAAACATCTCACCAGACGATGTTCTTTTCCACCCGCAAAGAAATAGATTGAAAACTGATGTCAAACTTTTTTTTATTTTCATTTCATGAATGACTTTGTTAGTGACTAATAATTATTTTGTTATTGATCCAAATGAAGAGTTTCTTTAACTAAACCATTAATATTGAATAACATCAAATCCTTCTTTATATTAAAATTTAGCCCTGAATCATTTCTGCTTTTGGTACTATTGATATAAAAATAGATATTACCGACGTCAACTTGAAGAAACTTTGAAAGCCTGCCTTCAACGGCTTTGCTAATATAATTCATCAATATTGATTCCCTACCCTAGACACCCAGTATTTGATGATGTTGGCAAAGTCGACAAACGCCAGCCTTCAACGGCATTATTGACATCACTCTATTCAATGGACTCCCTTCCTTCGACACTCAATATTGATTACTTCAATAATGATGTTGGCAAAGGCGTCGATAGCAGCTTTTACGTTAAATTCAAGTCGACAAAGGTTACGTCCATTAATTAATCCATGAATAATGTAATTAACACCAGCATTCCTGCAACTTTCCTATTGTACTCATATTGCTAATTTTGTGAAAGATGCCCATATGACATACTCTTAACTAGAATATTCTTGTAACATACTATTTTACTTTGCAGACTATCACAAAAAAGAATAAGAATAAAACATTTTTTTTTATTTGTATGTATTTTTTCAGGGAGTTGATACATCCAGCATAGCCCTTCAGTTTGCACTTTACTTTTTATCCAAAAACCCACTAGTTCAGGTAAGTGATTTTTTGTATTAATAATATGATTAATCCGAAATAACAAAGTTAATAACAGTATTTTTTTTATTTAAAGTCAAACAAACTGTTTGGGACGTACAATGGAGGGAAGTAGAATCCGTGCACTTTTTCTTACATTCTGGGATTTCTATTCTAAACAGAAAACAAGTTCAATTATGAAAACAGGTGCGTTCTGGATGAAAATAGTCAGTCCAGTCACATTAAGGCTAAATGTCCTGACACTAGTACAATTTGTAGCCACCACGTGGCAGCACCAAAATAAATAAAATTTAATTTACTGATAACTTCGGAACCAGTACCTAGAACAGAAATACAACACTGTCACAAACCCTGTTGTACAGACTAACAGGCAGACACAAGAGAGAGAACACAAAGCTTTTGTGACTAACCAACGAAATTCTAAAAGTTTGTACACCTTATGTTTGTAACATGAAAAAAGTAAAGTATGAAAAATGAGTGGTTGTCTTATTGCACTGAAGAGTTCTGCAGTTTTCGAATTATGTTTTTGATGGATCCCTCACCGTCTCTTGTTTTCCATTTTCCAAGTCATAAGGTTAGAAGGTGACAATCACCTTTTCCTCTTTCGAGATGACGGCAGAGATTTTTTTATTGGTGGTGTTGTAAGCGATTCTGATGCAGAAGCAACGTTGGAATTCTGATTTTCGCAGTGATTATTGGAGGATCTAAAATATTATTGAAAGAAATGTTTACAAACACTCAATTCATTGGCCATTTTGTACTTGAATTACAATGCAGTATACTCCTCTATAAATCGAAGTTTTTAGTACCTGAGATAGTAAAATCTAAAAGCCACTTTCACACTTTGCGGTCTCAACAAATTACTTTTGACGTTGAAAACCTGAAAAGTGTTTACACTAGTGTAACGATTTTTGACGCCTCATCTTTCGCAAGGCGGCAATTTTACAATAATCGCTCTTTAATAGTGAGGGAAATTCAATTACATTGCACAAATAAATATATTTCCAAAACTTTAATAAACCACATATTTAAATATTACTATTATCTGTCGTACATACGAGATTGAACTAAAGAATTCTCGAAGACCTACAGTTTTCGGCATATTTACGTGTTTTCCAATTTGCCGCCTACGCGAGCAGTCGAAAAAATATTATATCTGCTTTGATATCTGCATTGTATGAGGTTCAATATCACTTCAACTAATGCAGAATGTTTCTTGTTCTGAGAAGACATGAACTCAATGAGTGACTGACATGTTGTTTGCTTATTGTTCATGACACAAGTGTATAGCGTATTCATTTTA